TGTTCTACAGCCATACTGGGTTTATTTTGTTCTTGGAAAATACCAAGCTCCCACTTCAGGACCTTTATGCAGTCTTTTTTTTTTTTTTTTTTTGAGACAGCTCTGTAGCCCAGACTGGAGTGCCGTGGCGCTATCTCGGCTCACTGCAACCTCTGCCTCCCGGGTTCCAGTGATTCTCCTGTCTCAGCCTCCCGAGTAGCTGGGATTACAGGTATGTGCCACCACACCCAGCTAATTTTTGTATTTTTAGTAGAGACGGGGTTTCACCATGTTGGCCAGGCTGGTCTTGAACTCCTGACATCAGGTGATCTGCCCACCTCGGCCTCCTAAAGTGCTAGGATTATAGGCGTGAGCCACCGCGCCCAGCCTGTGCAGTTTGAACTCATATATTATCCCTCAGAGGAGCCCTTATCCCTTTCTATCCTCTCACTACTCTCTATCATTTGATGCCGTTTATGTTTCATTCACAGAGCATTTATCATTCCCTGAAGTTACCTCGTTTATTTATTCACCTGCTTTGTGTCTGGCTCCTCCTTCAAGAATGTAGGTCCCATGGGCCAGGGATGTTCTGTTTACCAATGTCATTGGAATGCTTAGAGCAGTGCCTGGCATATAGTTGATGCTCTATAAATATTTAATGAATGGGCTGGGTGCAGTGGCTCATGCCTGTAATCCCAGCACTTTAGGAGGCCCAGGTGGGCAGGTCATGAGGTCAGGAGTTCAAGACCAGCCTGACCAACATAGTGAAACCCCGTCTCTACAAAAAATACAAAAAATTAGCCAGATGGGGTGGTGGGTGCCTGTAATCCCAGCTACTTGGGAGGCTGAGGCAGGAGAATCGCTTGAACCTGGGAGGTGGAGGTTGCAGTGAGCCGAGATTGCGCCATTGCACTCCAGCCTAGGTGACAAAGTGAAGACTCCATGTCAAAAAAAAAAAAAAACAAACCCCCAAATATTTAATGAATGAATAAAAAGGAGGTAATCTCGGAGAAAAAGAGAGGAAAGAACAAAGTGATAGACCATGGATTTAAGTTGGATAAAATGTGTCATAAAGAAAGAGGAAGGCCAAGTGCATTGGCTCACGCCTGTAATCCCAGCACTTTGGAGGCCAAGGTGGGAGGATTGCTTGAAGCCAGGAGTTTGAGACCAGTCTGGGTATATTAGGGAGACCCCGTCTCTACAAAAAGTTTTAAAAATAGGCTAGGCTTAGTATCTCCTGCCTATAATCCTAGCATTTTGGGAGGCTGAGGCAGGAGGATCACTTGAGCCCAGGAGTTTGAGACCAGCCTGGGCAACTTAGACACCATCTCTACAAAAATAAATAAGTAAAATAATTAGCTGGGCATGGTGATGCATGCCTGTAGTCCCAACTACTTGGAAGGCTGAGATGAGAGGATTGCTTGAGCCCAGGGGTTCAAGGCTGCAGTGATTCATGATCATGCCACTGCTCTCCAGCTTGAGTGACTTCAAGACTGTCTCAAAAGAATAAAAATAAGAAAAAGGAGGACTGATAAAGTAGGGGATTAACCTTGGAGATGTTGACCGGACGCGATAGCTCATGCCTGTAACCCCAACACTTTGGGATGCCAAGGTGAGTGGATCACCTGAGGTCAGGAGTTCGAGACCAGCCTGACCAACATGGTGAAACCCCATTTCTACTGAAAATACAAAAATTAGCTAGGTGTGGTGGCACGTGCCTGTAATCCCAGCTACTCAGGGGACTGAGGCAGAAGAATCGCTTAAACCCAGGAGGCAGAGGTTTCATTGAGTCGAGATCATGCCAACGCACTCCAGTCTGGGCAACAGAGCGAGACTCTGTCTCAAAAAAAAAAAAAAAAAATTCTTGAATATCCTGGTAAGGTTGCTACTTAATAAAGTTTAAAAACTTTTGCAGTAGGAGTAAACAAAAGAGAAGAAGTTGTGGTCTGGGAGTATAAACATACAAACCTTAAATAAGTGATTCTGAAACTAGCAGATATGAATAATACCAAAATTTGAAATACAGTCATGAGAATGATACTTGATGTGGAGTGGAAGAGGGGATGTCAAGAAGCTGAGATATGAGGGCAGTAGATGGTTTATCCTCCTGGATATTGAGGTTACAGGATGAAGGCGGGGCTTAGGGTAGACTGAATGCTGAAGCTGTGGCTGAATGAAGCAGAGCAAATAGGTAGGAGCTCATTAGGTGAGAGGAATTAGTGAGTGTGGCCTCCCACATAGCATGAACTTCAAAAGAGCTGGCTTTTTTAAAGGAATAATATCAAACCTGTAAGAGCAAATGTTAGAACCCCATCTTTTCGCCAGATTATTTTTAAAGAAAACCTTAATTTCAAAGGGCAGAAAGGAAAGTAATATCAGCAGAAGAAAACCAGCTTCAAGAAGGTGGCAGGAAAGCTTGGAGGAGAGGTTACTGATAAGGCACATTTGCTGGCTGTGGAGCCGAGTAGATTCAGAGGACATAGTGGAAAGGTTTGGGAAGTGGAAGAATATGGAGAGCTCTGTGGGAGGCGCAGAACAACAGAGGTGACTGTATACTCTAAAAGCTGAATGAGTGACATGGTGTATTTGACTTCAGCTGGCCGTCTGAGGAAAGTGAGAAAGAGCCTGATGGCCAGAGGACTTGTCCGGTTTATCCAGAATGATAATGTTCCCCAAACATTATTTACTTACCTGCTTTTCGTCTGGCTCCTCCTTTGAGAATATAGACCCCAAATGCTGCCCCGCCTAGATGAAAGGGAGTGTTAAACTGAACATTATGAACATTCACCACATTTTACCACTTTTTTTTCTCAGATGTGTTGTTAGATATATTTTTGCCCAGGATAATGTTGAGCTTTCAAATTTGTTAGTATTCTTTTTTGTTTTGTTTTTAATGGTAATGAGTGTTTGTATTTAGATCTCTACTTTTGTCATGCCTGGGAAGACATTTGCTAGAGGTACCCCAATATTATTGAATGGTCTTTTGTTTTTTTCTAGTGCTTACATGATTTCAGCTTTAATATTTAAACCTTTAGTCCTTCTGGAATGTATATATGTATTGTCTTTATACCATAATGTGTCTTGTATATTTTCCTAAGTGGCTGGACTGTTCTATTTTAAATACTTCTTTTTTTTGGTATTGTTTATTTTTTTGCTTGTTTTATTGATTTGGAAATTCCATTAAAGACAGTTTCTGTAAAATCTATACCTTATTTAATGTTCAGCTAATTATAGCCTACTGTCTTTTTCTGTTTTAAAAACCATATTAAAAGGCCAGGCGCAGTGGGTCACACCTATAATCCCAGCACTTTGGAAAGCTGAGGTGGGCGGATCACTTGAGGTCGGGAGTTTAAGACCAGGCTGGCCAACATAACGAAGCCCCATCTCTACTAAAATGACAAAAATTAGCTGGGCGTCGTGGCGTGTGCCTGTAGTCCCAGCTGCTCGGGAGGCTGAGGAAGGAGAATCGCTTGAACCCGGGAGATGGAGGTTGCAGTGAGTCTGTGCCACTGCACTCTAACCTGGGTGACAACGTGAGACTGTGTTTCAATTTAAAAATATATATATATTTAAATATATTTAAAATCAGTACTAGCTATGAATATTACAAATAGATACGCCCTTTGGCTTAATAATGCCACCTCTAATAATTTATCGACAAATATGCATGCATATATATGAAACTATATCTGTTCAAAAAAAAAATTTTTATTTTTTTTTTTTAATTTTTTTTTTGAGATGGAGTCTTGCTCTGTCACCCAGGCTGGAGTGCAGTGGTACAATCTCAGTTCACTGCAGCGTTGGCCTCCTGGGTTCAAGCAATTCTCCTGCCTCAGCCTCCCAAGTGGCTGGGACTGTAGGTGCACACTACCATGCCTGGCTAATTTTTTTGTATTTTCAGTAGAAATGGGGTTTCCCCGTGTTGGCCAGGCTGGTCTCAAACTCCTGGCCTCAAGTGATCTGCCTACCTCAGTCTCCCAAAGTGTTGGGATTACAGGCGTGAGCCACAACACCTGGCCTGTTCAAAATTTTTCATTGCTGCATTTTTTTTAATGTATAAAGCAAAAGACTGAGAATAACCTAAATATCCATCCGTGAAGGAACTGATTAAATGAATTAGGGTATATCCGTAAGGTGAAAAACAATGGTAACATTTTTTTAAAGTGAGGAAATACTTTCTGTACTGATATAGAATCTTCATTTTGTTTAATGAGAAAAGCTAGGCATAGTAGTAGTACATATAGGATGTATAGTACTAACTTGTATATGTATATCCCTGAAGTACCTTATTAAAGATCGGTCGGCTAAAGGACAGAAGTATGATATTGTACTTTGTGAATTTTGAGCCATCAGTCAAGAATACTTTTTTTTTTTTTTTTTTTTGATACAAGGTCTCGCTCTATCTCCCAGGCTGGAGTACAGTGGCATTATCTTGGCTCACTGCAACCTCTACCTCCCAGGTTCAAGCAGTCCTCCAACCTCAGCCTCCCTAGTAGCTGGGACTACAGGCACGTGCCACCACACCTGGCTCATTTTTGTGTTTTCAGTAGAGATGGGACTTCACCATGTTGCCCAGGCTGGTCTGAAACTCCTGGGCTCAAGCAATCCACCCACCTCGGCCTCCCAAAGTGCCAGGATTACAGGTGTGAGCCACCACACCTGGTCAAAAATAAATAAAATTTTAAAAGGTGAAAGAAAACCACTTACTGAAATTTTATTTTTATAATTCTTCTTTTTTCTTTTTCTGCTAAATTGAGCTAAATAACGTGTATTATTACCTCACATATCGTTTTTTTGTAGTGAGAACACTTAAAATCTACTCTCTTAGCAGTTTTCAGGAGTACAATACGTTATTAACTACAGTCACCATTTTGTACAAGAGATCACTTGAACTTTTTAAAATTTTTATAATTCTTGAAAGAGAATTGAGTATCCTTTGTAGTATCAGAATTGCAAGCTTTTCAAAAATAAGAGGTTGAAAACATGATTCTTTTTCCTCTTTATCTCTCTTATAACCATAGGGAATGTGCAACAATCAGTTAACCGCAAACAGAGCTGGAAAGGTTCTAAAGAATCCTTAGTTCCTCAGAGGCATGGCCCACCACTAGGAGAAAGTGTGACCTATCATTCTGAGAGTCCCAACTCACAGACAGATGTAGGAAGACCTTTGTCTGGATCTGGTATAACAGCATTTGCTCAAGCTCACCCCAGCAACGGACAGAGAGTGAACCCCCCACCTCCACCTCAAGTAAGGAGTGTTACTCCTCCACCACCTCCAAGAGGCCAGACTCCCCCTCCAAGAGGTACAACTCCACCTCCCCCTTCATGGGAACCAAACTCTCAAACAAAACGCTATTCTGGAAACATGGAATACGTAATCTCCCGAATCTCTCCTGTCCCACCTGGGGCATGGCAAGAGGGCTATCCTCCACCACCTCTCAATACTTCCCCCATGAATCCTTCTAATCAGGGACAGAGAGGCATTAGTTCTGTTCCTGTTGGCAGACAACCAATCATCATGCAGAGTTCTAGCAAATTTAACTTTCCATCAGGGAGACCTGGAATGCAGAATGGTACTGGACAAACTGATTTCATAATACACCAAAATGTTGTCCCTGCTGGCACTGTGAATCGGCAGCCACCACCACCGTATCCTCTGACCGCAACTAATGGACAAAGCCCTTCTGCTTTACAAACAGGGGGATCTGCTGCTCCTTCGTCATATACAAATGGAAATGTTCCTCAGTCTATGATGGTGCCAAACAGAAATAGTCATAACATGGAACTGTATAACATTAATGTACCTGGACTGCAAACAAATTGGCCTCAGTCATCTTCTGCTCCAGCCCAGTCATCCCCGAGCAGTGGGCATGAAATCCCTACATGGCAACCTAACATACCAGTGAGGTCAAATTCTTTTAATAACCCATTAGGAAATAGAGCAAGTCACTCTGCTAATTCTCAGCCTTCCGCTACAACAGTCACTGCAATTACACCAGCTCCTATTCAACAGCCTGTGAAAAGCATGCGTGTATTAAAACCAGAGCTACAGACTGCTTTAGCACCTACACACCCTTCTTGGATACCACAGCCAATTCAAACTGTTCAACCCAGTCCTTTTCCTGAGGGAACCACTTCAAATGTGACTGTGATGCCACCTGTTGCTGAAGCTCCAAACTATCAAGGACCACCACCACCCTACCCAAAACATCTGCTGCACCAAAACCCATCTGTTCCTCCATATGAATCAATCAGTAAGCCTAGCAAAGAGGATCAGCCAAGCTTGCCCAAGGAAGATGAGAGTGAAAAGAGTTATGAAAATGTTGATAGTGGGGATAAAGAAAAGAAACAGATTACAACTTCACCCATTACTGTTAGGAAAAACAAGAAAGATGAAGAGCGAAGGGAATCTCGTATTCAAAGTTATTCTCCTCAAGCATTTAAATTCTTTATGGAGCAACATGTAGAAAATGTACTCAAATCTCATCAGCAGCGTCTACATCGTAAAAAACAATTAGAGAATGAAATGATGCGGGTAAAACCTTTTAAAATGTCCATTTTTATACTTAAAATCTATTTGCTTGGCGTTTATTTTAAAATATTGTGCTCCAGTATTTTTCTTTTTTTATAGCTAAATACAATATATTATCAGTTACAGAATTTAAAAGTGAATAAATTTAAAGTACTTTTGATTGTAGCATTTTTTTTTTTTTAGTATTTCAAGATTGACTCAGAATTTCCTCTAATAAAATCTTGTGTAAATTAAGAAAAATATAATTTGCAGTATACAGTTTAGGTGTACATAATACCTTTATATGAAAATTAGAGGAAGGGTGGTTTTCTAGGTTTTAAACATTGTCTTACAACATTTAAACATAAACTAGAAATTTGTGGGTCTCAAGCCGGGCGCGGTGGCTCATGCCTGTAATCCCAGCACTTTGGAAGGCCGAGGCAGACAGATCATGAGGTCAGGAGATTGAGACCATCCTGCCTAACACGGTGAAACCCCGTCTCTACTAAAAGTACAAAAATGGTCCAGCCGACACGGTGAAACCCCGTCTCTCTACTGGGCAGCACAAAAATCAGCTAGTGCGGTGGCAGGCGCCTGTAGTCCCAACTACTCGGGAGGCTGAGTCAGGAGAATGTCGTGAACCTGGGAGGTGGCAGTTGCAGTGAGCCGAGATCGCGCCACTGCACTCCAGCCTGGGCGACAGAGCGACCACCTCCAGAGCGAGACTCCGTCTCAAAAAAAAAAAAAAGAAGAGAAAGAAATATGTGGGTCTCATCTCTTGATATACTTAAGAAACAATTCCTTTTACTTGTAGAAAATTTGGAGTTTATGGGTTTATTCATCACATAGATCTTATTAGAAAGTGTAAATGAAATTCCCTTCAGTTATTTCTCCCTTCTCATTTCATTTTTATAATATACTAGAGAAAAATGTGCTGAAATTATTTAGTCAAACTGCACTAAAAGGGAGATCAGAATAAGTAAACACACTTTAATCTGTGTTGTCATTTCACATAGATCTCTTCACTAGATATTAAGGTGGTATGATCATCATCTTTTTTTTTTTTTTTTTTTTTTTTTTTGAGACGGAGTCTCGCTCTGTCGCCAGGCTGGAGTGCAATGGCGCGATCTCGGCTCACTGCAACCTCCACCTCCCAGGTTCAAGCAGTTCTCCTTCCTCAGCCTCCCCAGTAGCTGGGACTACAGGCACCCGTCACCACACTGATCTAATTTTTTATTTTTAGTAGAAGTGGGGTTTCACTGTGTTAGCCAGGCTGGTCTTGATCTCTTGACCCCATGACCCACCCGCGTCTGCCTCCCAAAGTGCTGGGATTACAGACGTGAGCCACTGCACCTGTCTATTATTGTTTTTATCATATGCTTACAGTTCAAATATTTTACTCCTAATCTTACATCTGGCACTCACAATCCAAGAGGCTTAACCTTGTGATTAAACTCCTTTATATATATACTTGAGAGAACTATTCTTTTAAAATGATTTTTCCAAATCTGATTTTACAGTATTGTTGTTTCCATTTTATATTTTATTAAATGAGAAATACCATAATAATTTCTATGACTTATTCATATTTTAGTTCTTAGGATTTCTTACTAAAGTCTGTCTATGTGTATTTTCTTAGTTTATTTTTCCTTTTTCCTCTTCACTTTCACTAATAGCTGATTTAAACTTTTATGGTGTTGGAAGCTTTGCTGACTTCTGTAGTCTCCATTACTGTGTAGGCAAGTAAGATTTTAAGAGAAACAGTTCTGAACTAAGTCTGGCATGCCACCCTTAAAAGATTTTGCATGCAAATATGAATCCTAACAGAAGCATGTGGTTGCTCTATTTTAGTCTTGTATTTCTAGGATTAGACCCCACTTTTCCAGTTGAATTTCTTTTCTATTTAAACCCTTTAATTAATTCTTTATTCATTAGCCAAAAATGTTTCTCCCTTCTAAATCCAGGCATTCCATATCTATAATACTTAGAAGTTAGTTTTTGTTTTTAATCTATTTTTTGATATATTCATGAGTCACACTGACTATTCTTTGAAGTATTCCTAAATATCCAAAGGATATCTTGTGAACAACCAGGTGATTCTTTTCGAAGTAGGAAAAACCCTTTGCAATTTGTGTTAGTGGTGGGCCGTGAGTCGCACCTTTACTCTAATGCCCTGAAAAAGAGAAAAGGAAAGATTATTAATGACTATTGTGTATTTATTGAGAATGGGGAAAGGATTCGTGGGTTAGAAAAGGCATTGTTTTGTTGTTGTTTGGTACATTAATTTTTTAGAATAAATGAACCTGGAGTGGAAGAATTTTTTTTTTTTCATGAAAGACAAAATAGGAGGAAGAATATTTGAGGCCTAGGCATTCCACCAAGAGAAGCATGTAACAGAGAGATAAATGAAGATGCATGTTAACAGGTGTTTGTTGCACATTGAGAACCTTTTTTTTTTTTTTTTTTTTTTTTTTTTGGAGTGCATTAGAGAAGAGTAGAAAGCTTACTCATCTGGTACCCTCTTCTTGCGCTCCACAGCTGAATTTGCATATGTATTCACTTTGAATATCCTTTTAACTACCCCTTAGGCTGCACTTTTGATCATTAATTTCCTTTGAAATGTTTTCTAGATTTCTAACATGCTTTATTAAAAATTATGTATTTAACCTTTAAATATATGCCTGAAGTTTTTCCGAGCTATTTCTTAATATTCAATATTGAAGAAGATAATTCTTATTTAACATCTAGTTTATTTGCCTAGGTTGGATTATCTCAAGATGCCCAGGATCAAATGAGAAAGATGCTTTGCCAAAAAGAATCTAATTACATCCGTCTTAAAAGGGCTAAAATGGACAAGTCTATGTTTGTGAAGATAAAGACACTAGGAATAGGAGCATTTGGTGAAGTCTGCCTAGCAAGAAAGGTAGATACTAAGGCTTTGTATGCAACAAAAACTCTCCGAAAGAAAGATGTTCTTCTTCGAAATCAAGTTGCTCATGTTAAAGCTGAGAGAGATATCCTGGCTGAAGCTGACAATGAATGGGTAGTTCGTCTGTATTATTCATTCCAAGATAAGGACAATTTATACTTTGTAATGGACTACATTCCTGGGGGTGATATGATGAGCCTATTAATTAGAATGGGCATCTTTCCAGAAAATCTGGCACGATTCTACATAGCAGAACTTACCTGTGCAGTTGAAAGTGTTCATAAAATGGGTTTTATTCATAGAGATATTAAACCTGATAATATTTTGATTGATCGTGATGGTCATATTAAATTGACTGACTTTGGCCTCTGCACTGGCTTCAGATGGACACACGATTCTAAGTACTATCAGAGTGGTAAGTAAACTCATCAAATTTATTTTAGTTTGTTCATACTAATGTAATTTATTGATGTAGTAAAATATAAGATGATATCATCACTGGATGAGAGCCAGAAGATGTGGGTCAGCTCTTGATTCTGTTGGATAAACTTGGGTGAATCCTTTAGGCACTTAGACTTATAAAATGAAAGAATGTGCTAGACTTGATTATTTCTAAATATCATTAACATTTTTTGAGTCACACCTTTTACATTTTATTTGTAAATATGTCAGACAAATAACCTTTTTTTTTTTTTTGATGGTGTATTGCTCTGTCACACAGGCTGGAGTGCAGTGGCACGATCTCAGCTCACTGCAACCTCCCCCTCCTGGGTTCAAGTGATTCTCCTGCCTCAGCCTCCCGAGTAGCTAGGATTACAAGCACCCGCCACCATGCCCAGTTAATTTTTTTTTTTTTTTTTTTTTTTTTTCTGAGACGGAGTCTTGCTCTGTAGCCCGGGCTGGACTGCAGTGGCCGGATCTCAGCTCACTGCAAGCTCCGCCTCCCGGGTTTACGCCATTCTCCTGCCTCAGCCTCCGGAGTAGCTGGGACTACAGGCGCCCGCCACCTCGCCCGGCTAGTTTTTTTTTTGTATTTTTAGTAGAGACGGGGTTTCACCGTGTTAGCCAGGATGGTCTCGATCTCCTGACCTCGTGATCCGCCCGTCTCGGCCTCCCAAAGTGCTGGGATTACAGGCTTGAGCCACCGCGCCCGGCCTAATTTTTGTATTTTTAGTAGAGATGGGGTTTCGCCTTGTTGGCCAGGCTGATCTCAAACTCCTGACCTCAGGTGATCCACCTGCCTCAGCCTCCCAAAGTGCTGAGATTACAGGTGTGAGCCCCTGCATCTGGCCAAATAACATTTTAAAAATAATTTTTTAATGAATCCTCATATCCATCATTCAGTTAAAGAACTAGACTATCAGTACTTTAGAAGCCCCTAAACAATCACTTCCCCTTTTCTCCTCCACAGAGATAATTATTATTTCAGAACTTTATAATTGGTTCTTTACTTTTATTGATACTTTTATCACAAATGTATATATCTCTAAATAATATATTAGTTCATTTTGCCTACTCTTTAACCTTTATTTAAATTTAATCTGTATATATTCTTTGTGTTGACTTGTTTGAGGTTCCTTCATGTTATTACATGTAACACTTATTTTCACTGCTATTTAGGATTCCATTACGTGACTTATTACACAACTAATATAACCCTAAACACTTTATGATCCTTGATCCTATTTTATCCTCACAATGTCACTGTGAGGCAGGATGAAGAAACTGAGGCCTAGTTAGATGAAGTAACTTGCCCAAGGTCAGACAGAAATCAAGTGTAAGGGCTAGGCTTTGAACGCAGGTTTGTCTGATTTCAGGGCCCATGTTATTTCTACTACACCACACTGCCTCACCAAGATCCCTCCAAGCGCTAATGGAAGTGTAAGTCAATCTAACATTTGTTAAATACTATGTACTAGGTGCTTAACAATATATTCTAATATGCTCATAACAATTCTCTGAGGTAAGTATTATTGGCCTCCTGTGCTTCTGTGAGCACAAGTAGATTGGCATTAAAATGGGTAGAACTGAGACAATTGAACCTACTTTAATGTTTGACATAGTGGAATTTAGTGTCTCCCCAGATTTGACTGAATTATTACCTGGAAAGCTTCCTAAAAACATGATTCCTAGGCTCTATTCCCGTCTTTTGATCAAAAGTCTTCACTGGGGCATAGAAATCTTTTTGTTCTTGTTGTTGTTTGTTTGTTTGTTTTGAGACGGAGTCTTGGTCTGTTGCCAGGCTGGAGTGCCATGGCGCAATCTCAGCTTACCGCAACCTCCATCTCCTGGGTTCAAGTGATTCTCCTGCCCCAGCCTCCTGAGTAGCTGGGATTACAGACATATGCCACCACACCCAGCTAATTTTTGTATTTTTAGTAGAGATGGGGTTTCACCATGTTGGCCAGGATAGTCTCAATATCTTGACCTCGTGATCCACCCGCCTCAGCCTCCCAAAGGGAAATCATATTTTAATCAAACATCCCAGATAAATATTATATTATATAAATATAATAAATATTAATTTCTTATATTCAAGGTGACTTCATGCCATCTATATGTTAATGACTTCCAAATCTCTCTCTCCAGAAATGGCCTTTCTCCGAAATTCATAATTTCTCTATCCAACTGCTTCCTGTCTGTCTTCACGTGGATTTCAGATAGACCTTGCAAACTTCACATGACTCAAAAGAACTCTTTTTTTTTTTAAGCATAAATCAGATATTGTTATGTTCTTGCTTCAGACTCTCCAATATCTTTTCCCTTTACTTGAAGTAAAAGGCAGACCATTTCTATTGCTTGCAAAACCCATGTGTATTTGTTCCTGCTGCATTTCTTAGAGTTCTTGCCCTGTTTCCTACAGTTCTCCCCTCTATCAGCTGCACTGTTCTTCTCTCTGTTGCTGTTATTTCTGTGTGGAATACCTAAACCTGATTTTTAAATGGTTGAGTCCTTCTTGTATTTTTACGGTTTAGCTGATGTCGTCTTCTCAATTGGTCTTTCCTAGCCATTCAGTCTTATGTAGCTATCCAGTCACATTTGTCACATCACCCTGTGTTGATTCTCTGTGTAGGGTATGTCACTGTTCCTTTTATGTGTAATTGTTTGTTTTGTTTCTTTTCCTACTAGAATGTAACCAGAGCTTTGTCTTCTCACTGTCATTTATTGAATGAAACACTGATCTAATTTGTTTGAAAGTTTGTCCAGAGTAGTACCAGGGAGTGGGCTAAATAACAAACTCTTAATCTCCCCATGACTCATATTGTTGTTATTTAACATTGAATAAATTGCTAAATCTTAGGCTTTTTTTTTTTTTAAGTGTAAAATCATTCCTATTGACATCTCCGAAAGCAGGCTCTAATTGGTAATAAACACCATCCATGATTTGGCATACATTGTGTCTTAGTTTGTCACAAGGGAGAATGTTGTTAACCCTAAACCATGATGTCAGAAGATTAAATAGACTTCAGGTTTACTGTTGTCCTTGTTGATTTTATTTATTTATTCTTTTGTTGTGCAGGTGACCATCCACGGCAAGATAGCATGGATTTCAGTAATGAATGGGGGGATCCCTCAAGCTGTCGATGTGGAGACAGACTGAAGCCATTAGAGCGGAGAGCTGCACGCCAGCACCAGCGATGTTTAGCACATTCTTTGGTTGGGACTCCCAATTATATTGCACCTGAAGTATTGCTACGAACAGGTAAAGCACTTCTTTCATATAAAATCTCAGTAGGCCTTTAGATAGACCAGCCAAAACAACACTAGAATATGCCTTATTTTTCAGGCTTATAATAAAAGTATTAATTTTACAGTATAAATTGGTGATTTAATGTTAATTTTTATTGTATTCTGAGCATTTTTAAAGTGCTTCTACATAACTAACTTTGGTATCTTATTTTAGGATACACACAGTTGTGTGATTGGTGGAGTGTTGGTGTTATTCTTTTTGAAATGTTGGTGGGACAACCTCCTTTCTTGGCACAAACACCATTAGAAACACAAATGAAGGTAAGGTATGGCAAAGAATTCTCACAAAGTTGCTACGTCATTGACCTTTATTTATTAGTACTTAGAGCATTTTAGTCTGGAGTTAAAGAATGAACTTGGGCCGGGTGCAGTGGCTTATACCCATAATGCCAGTGCTTTGGGAGGTTGAGGCAGGAGGACTGCTTGAACCTAGGAGTTCAAGATCAGCCTGACAACAATGTGAGACCTCATTTCTACAAAAAAAAATGTTTAATTTAAAAAAGGAAAAGAATGAACTTGTAAGGGTATATGAACTCACTAAAATTGCATGTGTGAACTCCAGTCTCCATGATGCCATATCCCCATAATCTTGTACCCCCCTCACTCATACACCATACTCACATATCATTCTCAAACAGGTCTTTAGGCCAGGCACGGTGGTTCATGCCTGCAATCCTACCACTTTGGGAGGTGTAGGCGGGTGGATCACCTGAGGTCAGGAGTTTGGGATCAGCCTGGCCAACATGGCAAAACCCCGTCTCTACTAAAAATACAAAAATTAGCTGGGTGTGGTGGCGGACACCTGTAATCCCAGCTACTTGGGAGGCTGAGGCAGGAGAATCCTTTGAATTCCGAAGGCAGAGGTTGCAGTGAGCCAAGATCTCACCATTGCACTCCACCCTGGGTGAAAGAGCGAAACTCCTTCCCAAACAAAACAAAACAAAACAGCCCTTTAGTCCATTTTGAAGATTTATTGTAGTTCACTCCTTGTCACCTACTGCCTCCTGGCTTTGTCTCCTTCTATGCAAACTACAAACAAATGTTTATATCCCCATTTGAAAATACCTCTGGCACTTAAATGAGAAGCTACCCACAATTTTGACCATACACTGTCTGATTTAATACCCTTTGGTGATTCCTTTGTCCATGGGTTAAAGTTGGAATTTGCCCTCTGTTCATACCATTCCCTCTGTCTGGAATGTCCTACTTCCATCTCTCTCTTCTATAACCCTTCCTCCTTTCTGAAGTCTAATTAACTCCTGGTCGTTCTCTTTCTCTCTCTCTCTTTTTTTTTTTTTATACAGAGTCTTGCTCTATCATCAGGCTAGAGTGCAGTGGCGTGATCTCAGCTCACTGCAACTTCTGCCTCCTGGGTTCAAGTGATTCTCGTGCCTCAGCCTCCCGAGTAGCAGGGATTACAGGCACGCGCCATCACACCCAGCTAGTTTTTGTATTTTTAGTAGAGACGGGGTTTCACCATGTTGGCCAGGATGGTCTCAATCTCCTGAACTCATGATCCACCCGCCTCGGCCTCCCAATGAGCCACTGCACTCAGCTTCCTGATCATTCTTAATTATTCTTTGAGGGCCAGACATGATGGCTCATGTCTGTAATCCCAGCACTTTATTTATTTTGAGATAGGATCAAAACATTTCACCAAGGGTGGAATGCAGTGGCGTGATGTTGTCTCATGCAACCTCTGTCTCCTGGCTCAAGCAACCTATCTTAGCCTCCTGGTAGATGGGACCACAGGTGCTTTTTTTTTTTTTTGTAGATATAGGGTTTTGCCATGTTGCCCAGGCTGGTCTCAAACTCCTGGGCTCAAGTAATCCACCCACCTCAGCCTCCCAAAGTGCTGGAATGGGTGCAGTGGCTCACACCTGTAATCCCAACACTTTGCAAGGTCGCAGCAGACAGATCACCAACAAATGGTACTGAAAAAACTGGTCAGCCATATACAAAAAAAATCAACATCAGGCCAGGTGCAGTGGCTCACGCCTATAATCCTAGCACTTTGGGAGGCCAAGGCAGATGGATAACCTGAGGTTAGGGGTTTGAGACCAGCCTAGTCAACGTGGTGAAACCCCATCTCTACTAAAACTACAAAAATTAGCCAAGTGTGGTTGGTGCATGCCTGTAATCCTGGGTCCTCGGGAGCCTGAGGCAGGAGAATCACTTGAACCCAGGAGGCAGAGCTTGCATTGAGCCAAGATCATGCCACCGCACTCCAGCCTGGGACGACAGAGCAAGACTCTGTCTCAAAAAAAAAAAAAACAAAAAAAAACTGATCCTCACACCTTTACAAAGATTAACTCAAATTGAGTCACATATATATAGATAAAACTTAAAGGTATAATACTTTTAGAAGAAAACATAGGAGAAAATCTTTGTGGGCTTGGGTTAGGTAAAGAGTTCGTAGAAATGACCCCAGAATCATGACCCATAAAAGAAAAAAGTTCATCAAAACTAAGAACTTTCCCTCTACCACAGATAACAGTCAAGAGAAAAGACAAGCTACAGGCTGGGAGAAAATATTTACAAATCACATAGCTAAGAAAGGCTTTTTTAATCTACCATATATAAAGAACCCTCAAAACTCAACAGTAAGGCAAAAAGTAACCCAAGCCAGTGACCTGACATATTTCTTTAAATGTCTGGGTCAAAAAAAGAATGGATCTCTGTCTCTTTAAATCTGCCAGAGCAGGTCAAAGAAAGACAGGCATCTGTGCTGTTCCCTCAGGGAATCACTAACACCAACCAAGATGGACAGCCTCAAATTTTTGGAGGGCAGAATTCTTACTGCCCACCTTGGCACTAACCAGCTGCTCCAGGAAGGCAAGCTGTGGTTTTCCTGACTGCCACAGGACTGAGGAATGGTAGATGGTAGTGGGCTCACACATGCTGCTGTCTGAACCAAATTTTAGCAGCCTCTCCCTTCATGAAGCACTCTCCTGGCTGCTGTAAGGTTCCAAAGTTCCAAAATAGTTTATTCTGATAGTCTTTTTCCAGTTTAATGATTGATTTTAGGGATGGGTAGACCCCTGATGCTTCCTACTCTGCTATTTTCTGTGCTATCTCTTTCTACTGTGGTTTTTTGCTATTATCTCTTTGTATAGTTTTGTTTGTGATTGCTCTAGTGACTACAAAATATATATTGTATTCTTTCTTTTTTTTTTTTTTTTTGAGATGCAGTTTCACTCTGTTGCCTAGGCTGGAGTGTAGTGGTGCAACCTCATCTCACTGCAACCTCTGTCTCCCAGGTTCAAGTGATTCTCCTGCCTCAGCCTCCTGAGTAGCTGGGATTACAGGTGCCTACCACCACACCTGGCTAATTTTTGTATTTTTAGCAGAGACAGGGTTTCACTATGTTGGCCAGGCTGGTCTCAAACTCCTGCCTCAAGCAATGCACCCACCTCAGCCTCCCAAAGTGTTGGGATTACAGGCGTGAGCCACTGCACCCAGCCTAAGTTTTCACTATCTACCTAGAATTTATACTTTACCACTTCAAGTTCAATGTAGAACCATATGCTATATAGGTCCCTTTATTCTCTATTATTTATATTGTAGTTATTTTATTTTTCTTCTTTTTTTTTGAGACAAAGTCTTGCTCTGCTGCCCATGCTGGAGTGCAGGGTTGTGATTTCAGCTCACTGCAACCTCTGCCTCCTGGGTTCAAGATTCTCCTGTGTCATCCTCCCAAGTAGCCTGGATTACAGGCACATGCCACCACCCTTGGCTAATTTTATTATTATTTTGTAATCAAGATTAGTCACTGTGTTGCCCAGGCTGGTCTTGAACTTCTAGACTCAAGTAATCCTCCCACGTCGGCCTCCCAAAATGTTGGGATTACAAGCATGAGCCTACACCTGGCTTGTAGTTATTTTATACATTACATCTACATACGCTTAAAACCTCATCCAGCCAGCACGGTGGTTCACCCTGTAATCCCAGCACTTTGGGAGGCCGAGGCAGGTGGGTCATGAGGTCTGGAGATCAAGACCATCCTGACTAACATGGTGAAACCCCATCTCTACTAAAAATAAAAAAAATTAGCTGGGTGTGGTGGCGGGCGCCTGTAGTCCCAGCTACTCGTGAGGCTGAGGCAGGAGAATGGCGTGAACCCGGGAGGTGGAGCTTGAAGTGAGCTGAGATGGCGCCACTGCACTCCAGCCTGGGCGACAGAGGGAGACTCCACCTCAATAAATAAATAAATAAATACATACATACATACATACATACATAAAACCTCATCCAGCCAGATGTGGTGGCTCACACCTGTAATCCCGGTGCTTTGGAAGGCCACAGCAGGAAGATCACTGGAACACAGGAGTTTGAGATCAGTCTAGACAACATAGTAAGACCTTGTCTCTACAAAAAAATTTTTTAATTAACCTAGCATGCTGGTGTGTAGTAGTACATGCCTACAGTCCCAGCTACTTGGGGCAGGGGCACTGGTAAGTGGGAGGATCCCTTAAGTCCAGGAGGTCGAGGCTGCAGTAAGAGCTAATAAGCACACCAGCCTGGGCACACCAGCCTGGGCAACAAAGTGTGACCCTGTCTCACAACCTGCCTCATCCAACAATGTAACAATTTTGCTTTCAACCATCAAGTTCTTTAAAGAACTCAGGGTGAGAGGCTGAATGCAGTGGCTCATGCCTGCAATCCCAGCACTTTGGGAGGCTGACGCAAGAGGATTGCTTGAAGCCAGGAGTTCAAGACCAGCGTGAGTAACAAATCATAGACCGTGTCTCTACCAAAAAAAAAAAAATAGCTGTGCATGGTGGATGGTGGCACGTGCCTGTGGTCCCAGCTACTCCAGACACAGGAGGATCATTTGAGCCCAGGAGTTTGAGGCTACCGTGAGCTATAATCATACTGCTACACTGCAGCCTGAGCAACAGAATGAGACCCTGTCTCTAAAAAAAATAATAATAATAATTTAAAAAGATGAGAAGAATAGTCATTTATGTTTACCTGGATATTTAGCGTTTTCCTTGCTCTTCCTGCTTTCCTGCTGTTTCAAGATTCCTTCTATATCATATCTCTTCCATCCGAACAACTTCCTTAAGCAGATACTTGAGAGCAAGTCTGTTGATAACAGAGTCTCTTAATTTCTCTTCATATGAGAATGTCTTTATTTTGCCTTCCTTAGAATATTATCACTTGAGGCTGGGCACAGTGGCTTATGCCTGTAATCCCAGCACTTTGGGAGGCCGAGGCGGGTGGATCACCCGAGGTCAGGAGTTTGAGACCAACCTGGC